CACTTGTAAAAGCTATCAGTTCGCAATCTTGGAACAGCACGGTTTCCTCCCACAGTCCAAAGATGTGCAGGTTAGGGGTGGATTGGACAGGCTAAATTGCTCATAGTGTCATAGGGATAGGGTAGGGTGTTGAGTCTGGGTGGGATGCTCTTCGGAGGGTCAGTGTGAACCCGAATGGCCTGCTCCCACACTGTAGGAATTCAATGAATCTTCTTGTTCTTGCATGGTGCTGCATGATATTCACAGCAAGGAAACAGACCATTCAGTCAAAGAGGTCCACGTCTGTGATTATACTTCAGCCAAGTTTCCTTCGTCGCTTCATGTCTTTTGTTTGATTGAAGAGATGGATTTGTAGAGAGATGCCCAAACAGCCCAGGGCTTTCTGCAATGCAAAGTCCGATGTAAAATTGAAGCCTGTTGTAAAAATGTATCTTATTCTCAAACGGGCAGTGGTCACGTCGGAAAGCAAGCAAACAGATTTATTTTTGTGCCTTGAGACCTCAACTTGTACCACTGCCCTGCTTTGACCAACTTGATCCTTTGAGTGCTCACACGGTTCTTGTTTCTCAGAATACACGCAGGCCAGCTTGCAAGGCCGTTGCGTTTTACCAAGAAATGGAGCGGGAATGGCTTGGGATGTCAAAACCTTCTGCAACCATCACCTTTGCTCTCCGTTGGCGGTAAGCTGGTTAGGATCTCTTCGTGTTTTTGTTTAAGAAAAGTAACTTAACCCATGGCAGACGAGGTACCTCTGGGAAGGTCAGCATTTGTTGCCGATCCTGAAGGTGGTGTTGAGCCATCTTCTGAGCCGCAGCAATTTTCCGATACAATTCATCGGTTGTTATTTCAGAGGGCAGTACACTTGTTCACCACGTTTCTGAGAGTCCAGAGTCACCTGTTGGCCAGGTCAGGTGCGGGCAGCGGGTTTGCTTCCGGGGTTTTTGTGACAATCCTACCGTTTCATGGTCATTGATGTCTCAGTGGTTAGTACTGCTGCCTCACAGCGCCAGGGACCCGGGTTCGATTCCACCCTCGGGCGACTGTCTGTGTGGAGTTTGCACATTCTCCCCGCGTCTGCGTGGGTTTCCTCCGGGTGCTCTGGTTTCCTCCCACAGTCCAAAGATGTGTGGGTTAGGTGGATTGGTCATGCTAAATTGCCCAGAGTGTCCAGAGGTGTGCAGGATAGATGGGTTAGCCATGGGAAATGCAGGGTTACAGGGATTAAGTAGGGGTGTGGGTCCAAGTGGGATGCTAATTGGACTTGATGGGCCGAATCGCTGGTTTCCACAGCTGTAGGGATTCTATGATCATTCCGAAGATTGAGTCCGGGACTGAGTTAATGAAAATTGACTGGCTGAATATGAGCTCATGTCTTTGGACAGTTCATCCACTCTCCAGATCACTCACCCAGCCAGATATTCACTGCTTATACAGACTGTGATGCCCATGTCTTATTGTTGAAAGTAATTGTAAGTGATTTGGTACAGCTTCGGACACAAAGCTGAGCCTTAGAGACTGGCTTTGGTGTTGCCATTGGTGAACAGGCTGTCACAGTCATCCTTGTTAACGTGAGGATGTAAGAGAGTCAGTAAGTGGTCCTGGCTCTGACCACCAGTTACATTCACTGACCAAAGAGGCTCACACCCAAAAGCTAGCTTTTTAACACCGACTGGAGTGTTGCGTCGGACCTGTGCTGTCGCACAGTTTGTATATTCAGGACAACTGAAGAGAGAAAGACAAACGTGAAACAAATCCTGCATTTTTTTGATTTCAAAAATATACTTTGATCATAAAATATCTTTATATATGCATGTAATCACTAAAGCAGTTTGGTTCTGTACAGTAGCATTTCAACAAACAAGCAAACACTGGAGAAAGTAGGAACTGCAGATGCTGGAGAATCTGAGATAACAAGGTGTAGTGCTGGATGAACACAGCAGGGCAAGCAGCATCAGAGGAGCAGGAAAGCTGACGTTCCGGGCCTAGACCCTTCGGTCTAGGCCTGCTGTGTTCATCCAGCTCTACACCTTGTTATCTCTTTAAGCAAACACTGGAGTTTGACTCTATCCAGCAAACAAGCCAAAGGCATTTCTGAGTGTACTAGACAATATTTACATACGTTTGAGGCACTGGGAGGTACCAATAAGTGAAGGGAACCTCATTTACCTTCAGCAGAAGGACCCTTGACGATGGTCTTTCTCCACTGTGTCTTGGTGGCAGCTTCGCCAAGCTTTAGTGTGTCCCTCAGCACGTAGTCCTGAACCTTGGAATGTGCCAGTCCGCAACACTCTGTCCAGATCAGCTCCTCGCTCTGGAAGATCAAAAAGTTTCAGACAGAGCAAAAAGCATCTTTCACCGAGTTGATGGTCCTCCAGGCGCAATTGATGTCTCTCTTGATGTGCCCCCTGAGGAACAGACAGTAGAGCACAGATCCCTGCCTCATGGAGCTGCAAAGGCACATTCCAAAGGAGATGTGACAGTCTTTACCCTCCCTGCAGCCACTGCCTTGAGCTCCCGCTGTAGCAGCAGAGTGGGATTGTATGCGCGTCTGCCTTTTCCCATCCATCATGTTGTCCTGGTTCACTTGTGGGTAGATGGTGACCAAGCGGTAGTGTCACCAGACTTGTGATCCTGAGCTTCAGGCTAATGCTCTGAGGATGTGCATTCAAACCCCACCTCGGCACCAAGCGGAATATATATCGAGGCCCGTGTCTCATTGTGTGCCAGATTACGCAATTTGCAAGCACGTACCTTTTCACCCAACAGCCCCAGTGACACTTTTCCTGCGTTTGCTCAGGTTCACATCCAGCGCCTGCATATAATGCGGCAGAGCTGATGTACGGTGAACAAACAGACCGGTCATTTTTTCACGATTCATCCCAGGCTGTTTGTCTTTTCAGCTTTGTTGGCACTTTGTGAGCCAGAGCCTCAACTGGTAACTCATTTCCTGTCTCTTCCCCTTTGATCTCCAAGTTGTGCCTGTCACCCCCGATTGCAAGGCCTGAGAGCAGCAGCAGGCTATTCAGCCCATAGAGTCCTCTGTACCGTTCAGTGAGATCAGGGCAGATCTGATCATCTTCAGCCCCACTCTCCTCCCTTTTCTCTGTTACCCGTGATTCCCTCACGGTCTGTCTCGATCCTGAATATACGGAACAACCCAGCCTCAAATATCCTCGGTGGTAAAGAGATTCACTACCCTCTGTGACAAGAAATTCCTCCTTGTAACTGTCTTAAGTGTGTGATCCCTTGCTCTGAGATTATGCCACCTGGTCCTAAACTCTCCCACAAGGGGAAACAATCTTTCCGTATCGACCCCGTGAACCCCCTAAGAAGTTTTCAATAAGGTCGCCTCTCATTCTTCTCAACTCCAATCAGTACAGGCCCATCCTACTCAATCTCACCTCATGAGACATCCCTTCATATCTTGGATCAGCTGAGCGAACCTTCTCCACATTGCCTCCAATGCCAGTCTATTTTCTCTTCGATCAGGGAACAAAGGCTGTTCACAGTCTGGTCCTACTGGTGCATTGGGAGGTTTTGGCAAAACTCCCGAACTTTATACTCCATTCCCTTTGAAATGAAGGCTGACGTTGCATTTGCTCTTTACTTGCAGTATGAGGGAAGGCAAAGTTTTGTTTTATTTTGAGTTTGTCATTGGAAGGTGGCCTTGAGAAGCTTTCAGGGAAGTGATGGCCCAGTGCTATTATTGGTGGACTGTTAATCCAGAGACCCAGGAATGTTTCAGGGACCCGGGTTCGAATCCTGCCACAACAGATGGTGGAATTTGAATTTAATAATAAAAAAAAATCTGAATGAAGAGTCTAATGATGACCATGAAACCGTTACTGATTGTTAGAAAAACCCATCTGGTTCATTAACGTCCTTGAGGGAAGGAAATTTGCTTTCCTTACCTGGTCTGGCCTCCATGTGACTCCAGACCCACAGGCAATGCGGTTGACTCTCAACTGCCCTCTGGGCAATTAGGGATGGGCAGTAAATACTGGCCTGGCCAGCGACACCCTTGTCCCGTTAATGAATGAAAAACAATCATAGTAAAATGTGTAGGGTATGCAGGGTAGTTTGGGATAACAGGTTGGCACAACATCGTGGGCTGAAGAGCCTGTACAGTGCTATACTGTTCTATGTTCTATGTAAGGTGACAGGGTTAAAGGAGGTCATTGATGTAAACTCAGTGGCAAAAGATGTAAAGAGAAAACGGGGACATTCTAATTGAATATACTAACAACTTGGTGTGTGGACATGCCTAACTCTTCTCATATAGTAATTTCTCCCAAAAGGTGTTTTTCACGAGCATGATAAAACCAGCTTGGATCCACAGAAAGAGACATTAGGCCCTGATAAAAGGGGCAGTTTAAGGTTCCTCTTTAAGGAGGAGAGAGAGAGAGGTAGAGACACAGCAAGGTTCAGGGAGGGAGTTGGAGAAATCAGGGCCCAGGCAGCTGGAGATGTCAGCATGCAGCTCATCGCCGAGGTATTGGGGTTGGGGTTGGTGTGGGGAGAAAAGATAATTTCAGACAAACACAGTGGAAGGGATTGTGTCTGGTATTGAGGACAGAGAGAGTCATGGGATTGAAAGCAAATCCTCAGAGGCATCTCCAGCACGATGGGCTGAATGGTCTCCTCCTATCTCTCAGCTTCTTTCACTTCCCTGAAATACTTGCCGTGAGTGTTAATAGTAACTGGTACCCCCATGGGTGTCCCAAACTGACTGGCGAAGGAGCTTAATTGCTATGCATGGTTGTTGCTGAGTCACCCTCACCTCCTGTATCTGAGAGAGAAACACCAGGGACCTGCATTTCTTTCAAACTGCTGCCCAGCGAGACCACTGACAATAGCTTGCAATGCCCATTGATGCGCAGAATAAGGAGCATTAACTGTCATTTGGAACTGCTTGGCAACGTGGCTTTTTTTTTCCAGAAAAAGCAAGAACTGAGCGCCTGCTTCTTCTTCCTGGAGGGGAAGCTATGTTACGTCTCCCTCGGTGGACATGGTGCAGGAATTGGCAGCCTACCAATCTCGGGGCAGAGCGGTGACTTGTCTTGTTGTTGGCTCTCCACGTTGCCAAGGCACTGAAACCGAAGCAGCTCACTGAATGTTGCCAAGGCAAAGATCCGTCGATTAGGTTACAGCCTGATGGCACTGGAGCAGGACAGCAGGGCTCAACAATCCTCTGAAGTCATTGTCCCCTGAAATTGAGATGTTCAGTTGTGTTCCTGGAGCACTTTTGTGTCCCACTGTCAGCGGTGCTGATGGTCAGCGTTAACCACCATCCTCGCGTGCACGCTGGTGGAAGGCAAGTCCTTGTTCAGAGATACAGGGGGGAAAAGGCAGAAAATTGGCATTTGATCATAGAACCAGTGCCGGCACAAAAAAGGGCCAAATGGCCTCATTCTGTGCCATAGTAATTATGTGATTCTTGGCTCACAGTTGGCTTTCCACACCTCTCTATCTGCTCTGTGGTCTTCTCTTTATTTGGAGATAATTCAAGTAGATTATCATGTTGCTGTCCAGTGTTGACAATCTCTTCCTCGTTTTCCTTCAAATTTTCCCTTCATAATGCCCTTTCCATTTTCTGCTGAGATGATGCCTTTCCCTCATTGGAGAGTGACTAAAGAAATTTGTTGATCACAATGCACTTCATGATTTTTTTTTTTTTTTTTTTAATTTGTTCACTTTGCTTCTTCTGTCCAGTGTTTCCTTTCCAATTTTTTCCCCCAAGTACCCAGTTCAGAGCTGCTTAGCAAATTGGTCTACTGTTTCTGTCAAGCCCAGGTTTATCATCCACACAAAAGCCTCATTCAAAATCAAGCTGACGGTTACTTAGATGCCTACTTGTCTCCCTGGTTAGTGACAGTTGTATTGTGGACTCTACGTCTCACAACTGCCGTGGAAAATCCTCCACAGTTTCACTTCGAGCAGAAAACGATGGGTGGGTAGGCAGGGAGCCTGATTGAGGTGTACAAAATTATGACTGGCAAAGATAGGGTCGACAGGGAGAAACATTTCCCCTTCATAGAGCGATCAATGGCCTGGAGTCTTAGATTCAATTGTAGAAAGGAGGAGGTTTAGAGGGAATTTTAAGATTTGTTTTCACCCAGCGGATAATACAGATGTGGAACTCGCTGCCCTGAAAGGCCAGGAACCATTGCAATATTGAATAATTGTTTGAATGAAGGCTTGAAATGCCAGGAAAATGGCATGATGGTGGCTAGGTGATTGATGACCAGCATGGGCACAATGGGCCAAAGGGCCTTTTTTCCTGTTCTGTGAAATTCCTTCACCTTGAGCCTGGGTCAGCTACTTGCCTGCTGAGCCCCTGCTTCTGCTGTTCTGCCGACAGCCACAAGGTGGGGTGTGCGAGCAACCGAATTGGCCATCTGCTGCTCCCGTTCCTGGATGACAAATTGGTGCAAGTTGCAGCAGCCCAGCTCTCCCAATGAGTTTGCTTCATGCCAATTCCAACGTGTCCTCCTTCGCCAGTGTGGGGAGCAGGAAGAGAGACCCGTCATTCTTCTGAGAGGGTTAGTCAGCTCGAGTGATAATCCTTCCTCTTGTGGCTCTCTTTCAGCGAGGAGTATGTTCATTCAGACCCAGGACACCCCAAACCCAAACAGCCTGAAGTTTATCCCTGGCTGTACAGTACTGGAATCGGGCACCGTGGAGTTCTCCGCCCCTCGAAGTGCCTTCTGCTCTCCCTTGGCCAGGTACAGTACCTCACCATCTTCCTTTGTTCCCAGGGGCGATGTGAGGGGGTGGGGGGGACGATGTTGGGAAACGGGCTAAGTTTGAGAGTGGGAGCCAGCTCCGGGAAACCTGCCAATCTCATCCCCTCCTGCCGAGCAAATTTGCCCCTGCCGCACGGCGCGGGACTCGCGGCCACGGCCTCAGAATCGGGTATCGGCCAGGGGGTGCGGAGTCGTGCCTTCGCTCCGAGGGCTGTGAATGTTTGGAACCCGCCACAAGGGAGCTGGAATCTGATGTGGGATTTGTGGATTGTGAGGCACTGAGAGAGATGGGGAGAGGGCAGTCAAATGGAGGTTGAGTCAGAATGCCAACCAGTCTGTTCTTCAAAGTTCTTCTTACGACCCAGTAGGGTCTACTCCAGCTCCTGCATTTCAGGGAGGGTTGGGGATCCCCGAGGACTGTGGGACTAGGTGCGCCTCCCAAGATCAGACCCCAGCCAGCACACTCGGTCAAACCCGCTGTCAGCTTTTTAAAAAAAAGTTGTTGTCTTTTGTTTTTTTGTTCTGCTTGGCAGGCAGCTCTTCAGGATTGATGGGGTGAAAGGGGTTTTCCTCGGGCCTGATTTTATAACCATCACCAAGGTAAGGAGGAAACGTGCCCTCGTGTTCGGAGAGCTGGGTTCAGGTCAGCTCGAGCAGAGCTCCTTATGATCCAGAACGGTTTTGGCTGAGCAAGGAACGTGGCTCCAGAGAGAGTAGATATAAGATCATGCGCAGAGCGGGGCGGAAAAAGATTTACCAGGATGTGGCTGGGAATGTAGAGTTTGAGTCCCATGGAGAGGCTGGGACTTTTTTCACTGGATAATAGAAGGTTGAGGGGTGACCTTAAAGAGGTTTCTAAAATCATCAGGGGCATAGATAAAGTGAATGGCAAAGGTCTTTGCCCCAGCGTAGAGGAGTCCAAAACTAGAGGGCATCGGTTTAAGGTGAGCGGGGAAGGATTTAAAAAGGATGTGAGGGCCAACCTTTTTACACAGAGAATGGTCAGTGTGTGGAATGAGCTTCCAGATGAAGGTACGGTGACAACTTTAAGAAGACATTTGGATAAGTTCAGAGGGGATAGGAGCCAAGCACAGGCAGGTGGGATTAGTTTGATTTTTGGGGTTATGGGGATCAGCATGGACAGGTTAGACTGAACGCTCTGTTTCTGCGCTGTACAATTCAATACTGGCACTGATTCAATGGCAGGGAGTTTTGCAATTTGAAATACGTTACACAAAAGGCTGCTGGAAGCACATTCCATCGTAACCCTGGAAGGAGAAGCAGAGACATGTTCGAGGGAGAAAATACATGACCAGGTGGTTGGGGCAAAAGGAGAGGAGCCAGTGGACAAATTGGACAGCTCCACCAAACAGCGAGTATGGGCACGATGGGCTGGATGGTCTCCCGCTGTGCCCTGTCACCATGATGGGTGGATGCTGAACTTGGAAGGTTTATAAACCATGAGGAGGACAGTGTGGAACTCCGAAAGGACACAGACAAGTTGGGAGAGTGTGTGGGTGCGTGGTAGATGAGGTTCAACGCAGAGAATTTGGCAGTACAATTGGAAAGGGGACATAGGAGCAGAGGACACATGCACACATCATTAAAGGCAGCAGCACTGGTGGAGAGAGCAGTTTGTAAAACATGGTGTTCATGTGGATCAGGACATGCCGTTCAAGAGTTAGGATGTGATGAAACAAAGCCAGACATAGCTGGAGAAACTCAGAAGGTCTGGCAGTGTCTATAGAGAGAAAGCAGTGTTTCAGGTCCAGTGAGCCACCTTCAGAACAGATGATATTGAACTTGTCCAGGATGCCTGTGGAGAGAGTGCGGAAAAGATTTACAGCAATGGTTCCAGGAACAAGAAACTTGAGCAATTACGATAGACTGAAGAAGTTGTGACTGTTCTCCCTGGAGAGAGAAAAGCTGAGAGGGAGATCTGATAGAGGTTTTCAAAATCAGGAGCGGGTTGGACGGAGTAAACAGGGAGACACTGTTCCCAGTCGGAAAAGGAACAAGAACGAGAGGGGCATAGATTTGAAGTGAGGTGCAAATGAAGCAAGGGCAATGTGAGAAAAACCTCTTCCACTCAGTGATTAGTTAATATCTGGAATGCACTGCCTGGAAATAGGGTGGGGACAGGTTCAGTTGAAGCATTTGAGAGGCCATTGGGTAATTTTTTTGGACAGAAATAGTGTGCAAGGTGACAAGGGTAAAGAGCAGGCGGTTGGCATATGGTCACAGAGCAGGCGGTTGGCATATGGAAGGCTTGTCCAGGCACGATGGGCAGAATGGCCTCGTTCTGTGCCATGACAGTTCTGAGATTCTAGATGTTGAAGCATGATTGAATTTATCACGGGTTCCTAGCTCCAATTCTCCCCTTGAGGGAAACGGCACGGGTCGGGTTGATCAGTTCGGACAGAATGTGCGAGATATCTGTACGCACCTCACGCGCCAGTTATGTGGCCAAAGAGCCTGGGGCCGTTCTTCACAAAGTGCGGGGCGAGACTGCAGGTGGCGCTCCCGAGCTGAGACTTTGTGGTAACGATGGTGACTGTGGGGGGAGGGGGGGAGCTGTGACTGTGTCAGTTCACACCTTGTACCTGGGAGAGGCTCCGAGCCCGGGTGGGATGAGGAATCGAGGAGCATTCCGCACCGATTATTTTTTTTTTCCTGGGTCGGCCGGATATCGAGAGCGGGTTTGGCCTTTGGAAAGGAATCTGGATAACGGAGGAGTTATGGGGGAAATCGGGGAGCCTGGGGGTCCGACCTCGCCAAAAAAGCTGGTGCAGACCCGTCCTAACGGGCCGAATGGCCGGTGTGATTTCTGTTGCGTGCCATCCCTCAGGCCAGCGATGAGGTGGAGTGGAAACTGCTCAAGCCGGATGTGTACGCCGCCATCATGGATTTCTTTGCGTCAGGCCTCCCGATCCTGACAGATGATGCTCCGCGCTCCGATACAGGTGGGTGCTCGAGCTGGTCGACCGTGAAGACCAGGGGAGGGGAGGCAGACTGGTCGGGCCACCCCCAGGAACTCCCAGGGGGCGGGTCATGGGTGCAGCCAGAGGGGAGGAGGCCCCTGAGCAAATTGGACAGCTCCACCAAGTGGCTGGCACAGGCATGACAGGGAGAATGGCCTCCCTCTGTGCTCCGTCACTGTGGTGATCGGGTACTAAATTTGGAATGGTAGGAGGGAGGGCAGTGTGGAACTCTGAAAGGACGCAGTAGGGTGGGCGGACAATGTGGCAGATGAGATTCAATGCAGAAGAGTGTGAGGTGGTGCACTTTGGTTGGAAGAACATGGGAAGACCGTTTAAAGTAAGGGGTACTGTTCTACAGGTGGGTGCAGGAGCAGCAGGTCACGGTCGGTATATGTGCACAGATCATTGAGGGTAGCTGGAGAGAGCAGGGAACAGGCTGCTCCTTGGTCACTTTCCTCTCAAGATCGATGAGACAGGTTTATTTTTCCTCCTGCTGTGGCTGGCCACATCGCACATCATCAAGACAGAATGCAGGGGCTGAATGGCCTCCTGTTTCCCCCAGGCATCCCGGTAGAAGTCCTCAGGCATCAGTGAGAGAGCAGACCTTGGGAAAGATGTCACAACTGCCAGTCCTGTCGTCGTTTCTGACTTAATTCTCACTGGCGTCTGACTGTGCTGTGCACATCACTTCAGTTCACTGGGCAGGGTCCCAAACCATGTGGCTGTGATGGTCAGGGGCTGTTGGTGCTTGAATAAATTGAATGTGATTCAACACAAAAATAAGGCCAGCTCGTCTCAACCAAGGCTTGCTTCCCCTCTCCAGCGTCCCATGATGTAGACCACTTGGCCTGTGCCTGATGCCCCAGTGCAGTCCTTCCCCTTTACACTATTGGCCTGTCTTCCTGTTCCTTTCTCCCTCAGCTCTTTCTTTCCTTACCTTCCCCTGCAACAAAGTAACACTGTTCACCTCAGACACAGTCATGGCTTGCACAATCTTCACTGCTTTCTGGGCCCAGAAATGATGTCGCGGCTTCCTCTTCCTCTCTCATGCCCTCGGTCTCTCCTCAGTCCTGTCCCGTCCTCTCTCAGTCATCGCAGACTTTGGCTGGTATATATCTCTTTGGCTGGCTGCCCGATGATCTGGAAACTGAGTTGGGAAAGGTCCAGTGGGATTCTTCACTTGGAGGCTTTGGTGGTGGTAGAAAATCTAAGAACATTTTGTACAATGTACGTGTGGATTCAAGACCCCATTATGAAAACTTTTGGATCTACTGTGTCGTACAGTGTTACTTATTTTTGCAGCTGTGTGGAGCTTCCTTCCGTTGCAAAATATCTAAGACTCTTGAAAACCCAGGTCCCGGCCCTGATCACCCTGGAAACTGGCTCTCCGATAAGGACCAGGCCGCACATGCGTGCATCTGTCATCACAGAACTGTAGCTTATCCTGTTGTTGTGTCCTCAGTACTCCTCAGGCCACCCCTGAGGTCTTGACAAACGATCAGTTGCGTCTTGTCTCGTCCAGGCCATGTTTTGATGCTTCAGATTGATCGAGTCAGAGAGTACGTGCACAAAACCACATGTTAATTTTGTATGGTTGAGCATGTTGCTTCCTGCAGGTTTGGTGGCACCCTGACATGTTTTTTTTTTGTCCCCTTGTTATTTCCAGCTCCTTCAGAGGATGATGATGAAGTTGTCGCCATCATTAAGGAGCTGTTGGATACCAGGATTCGGTGAGTCACAGTGGAACATGGGTCGGTGTCGAGACTGTCCTGTCGCTTCCCTGTTATGATCGCCTTCCTGGCGCTGGGGCACGGGGAGTGATGTTCAGGATATTGGGGAGGAGGCGGGTGTGGTGGGGAGGGAAGGCGAATTGGTAAAACAGGACCTGGCACGACACCACATTGTCGAGTTTCGCTAAAGAGGGGTGGGAGGAGGTGCATGTCAGGCACAACACTGTTGGACTGTAAGAAATCGGTCATGTTCTGTCTTCATCTGTCTGTTCAGGTTTGATTGCCTGCATTGCCACTAGGTCACGCACAGACGCACACGCACAGACACACACACTTTCAAACACAGTGGCATCCTTGTTTGAATCTGAGTAAGACCTTGGACTGTGCCTGAATCATGTTAACTGTGCTTTCTCTCGGCCTCACCTCTCCCCTGACAGGCCCACGGTTCAAGAGGACGGCGGTGATGTGATCTACAAAGGGTTTGAAAACGGGATTGTCAAATTGATGCTGCAGGGCTCATGTACCAGCTGCCCCAGCTCTGCCATCACCTTGAAGAGTGGAATTCAGAACATGCTGCAGTTCTACATCCCAGAGGTGGAGGGTGTTGTACAGGTACTGGTAACGAAAGCAGCCAGTGACCTATCATGGGCTACCGCAGGGATCAGTGCCTGGACCCCAGCTATTCATAACATACATTGATGATTTGGATGAGGGAACTAGATGTAATCACACCAAGTTTGCACACGAAACAAAGATGGGTGAGGAGGATGCAGAGTTGCTTCGTTCTGATTTGGACAAGCTGAGCGAGTGGTCAAGTGCGTGGCCAATGACATGGAAGGCAAATGAGTGTGAGGCGATCCACTTTGGAAGCAAAAACAGGAAGGCATATTATTATTATTTGAATGGTGATAAATTGAGCGAGAGCAATGTGCAATTTACTCCATTCGCTGAAAGTAAACACGCGAATGTCACAGGCAGTAAACAGACAATTAGAACATTAGCGTTGTTCACAAGAGGATTTGAGTACAGGAACAGGCTGTCTTGTTGCAACTGTACAGGGGCCTTGGTGCACACCCCATCTGGGGCACTATATGCAGTTCTGGTCTTGTTCTCTGAGGAAGGAGTGCAATGCTTGTTTCCTAGAGGCATTCCTGGGATGCTAAGACTGAGATGTCAAGAGAGACTGAATTGGTTAGGAATATATTTAGTGGAGTTTAGACGAATGAGGGGCAATCTGATAGAAATCTATCAAATTTCATAAAATTCCAACACGCCTAGATTGTGTTAAGCACCGGAAGGATGTTCCCAATAACAAAGGCTCACAGTCTGAGGATACGGGTAGGCCATTTGAGACTGAGATGAGGAGAAATGTCTTCATCCAGAGAGTGAGGAGCCTGTGGAATTCTCTGCTGTTTTTTTTTTTTTTTTGGTGACAAAATAGAAACAAAACTACAGATACAGGAAATCTGATACTCAGACCCTAAGTGCTAGAGATCTGGCAGCATCTATAGAGATAAAAGCAAAGGGTCCCTGGACTCAAATCGTTGACTTTGCCGCACCTGTTGAGTTTCTCCAGCACTCCCTTTGTTTTTTTTTTGCGACGTTGATTCAGGGACATATATTGGCCTAATCACCAGGGAAAACTCCTCTGCTCTCTTCAAAACAGTGTCCTGCTTCCACCCAAGAGACCCATCCATTGCCTTGAGTTAACACAACTGACGATCCTGCAGTCTGTCATTACAGCAATGCAGTGTTAGCCTATATTTTTGTCCTCAGTTCTAGAATGGGACTTGAACCCAGAGCCTGCTGACACATTTAACGAATGTCATTCTTGTATTTAAATTTTGGAGGGACATTTTTATATAACCGAATGAGGTAAAATTACTCTAATGTCCTCACTTTGACAGTAAAATACCATTCTTCATAATGGTCAGTTACCAACAACCAACAGACATGGCAAGACTTTTCAGTCATAATGCTCCCATAGACAACTATTAGTACTTTGGTGGCTTAGAACCAGAAACTGGATGCCGTGAACAATTGACCTTATCAAATGCTGGCATAAATGTTAACTTTTCTCCCAGGCACCTCTGAATTTATCTAAAGCACTCGTCTCCAATTTAATGTATCCAGATGCGCTCATAACCTGAAACAACAGATTTCCATGCAGGATAAGTAAGTAGCAAGTACAATGCTAGCTCCGACAAGTGCACCCTGTTGGGTCATTGTAGATTTTGAATGTTGTAGTTTTTAAGCAGAAGGGGTGGAATATTTTACATAACCTCTGTGTTATAACCTTTCTTTTTTTGAAAGGTTCACAATCTTTACTAGACTTGATCTCACCAAAATACAAACTTAAATGGAATAGATTTTCCACAGGGGGAAATGTTAGCACTCTGTCTCAGTCAATTTTGTAGATTCTGGTCTTCAGAATCATCCTGACAGGTGCTGTCTGAGTGGTCTTGTGCATCATGTATGAACGGTTTACCTGGCTCCAGGGACATGCTTGTTGTGTCCTCTGTATTGACTTCTGTCCTAGAAGAGAACTGGAGCCGAGCAGATCACCTCAAGGGGACTTGGGGCTGGTTAATCATTTGGGGAGGACACCGAGCTGTTTGGGATTGACTTGGCAGTGACTTTAACATGAAGGAAGCGGACAATGTAGATGTGTCTACAATGGAGATAGGTTTGTGAATTACCAAGGAATAACTTGAAATTGTACAATACCATATTACATCTTTGCATTATTGGAGTGCTTTCCATATCATTAATTACCATGAGGTCCAATTGTTGATGTGTGCAGGTTCCAAGAAATGTTGTTCTGAGAAACGTTTTCAGGCATTAACTGTGGAAATAGTCTTCCAAGATGTTCCAAGTAATTTTAAAGTTGCCTCCTGACCCTTCTCAGGTTGTGTTGAGTACTGGGGCCCTGGTAATCAAGTTATCAGCAATAAAATTGGCATTTTACTGTTTAGTGCATTTGGACAATGCCCTGGAACCATAGCCAACCATGACTTATTGAGAAGCAAATCCCCCTTTTCTGAATCACAGGCTGTGGGGTGGAGACTGCTGGTGGTACCATAACTAGGTGGATGTAAAGTGTACCGTGGTGGTGCAAACTTGAAGTCTCCAGTGGATTGGCCAATATTTATCCCTCCCCTAACACCAACAAAACATATTATCTGGTCATTTATGTCATTGCTTTTGTGGACCTGCCTGTCTGCAAATTGTACCTTTCTAGAATCCCCTCAACTTCCAAATTCCTGCTTGCAAGGCCAAAAACTAATCCTAATCCCTATGACCGTAAACCAGCAAAAGAAAAAGAACTGGAGAACTGCTGTCCTTTAATCTTGTCCACCCCATCTTCCATTTTATTATGTACTCTATTAATTTCCCCTACAGTTGCACAATCAATTATGCTCAAAATTTCTTTCTGGCTCTTAGATATGTACTGAGGCTGGAAAAGGGCTGAAAGAAAGAAATTTCTCTGTGCCTTGTATAACTTCAGAATGTTTCTCAGCCAATTAAGAGCTTTTGAAAACTTTTTGGAAAAGCTCAGCAGGTCTGGTAGCATCTGTGAAGTAAAAATCAGA